GCCAGGATGCTCAGCTGCTGACACCAGAGCCACTGATGAAGACGAAAGGAGTGTGAAGGGAATAGAACCTGGAAGAGTCTGGGAAGGCAGTGTTCACTAGGCCTGCACCCCCACAGGGCCCTCCCCCCCCATCCCCCCATCTCCCCCATCCCCCCCACCCTCCACCCTCAACGTTAAAGAAATATAGTCACATTACCCAAATCAGAAAATAGAACAAAGAAGAAAAACCATCCGCCATGTCACTACCTTCATTCCATCCCTGGTAGTTTATTTCACATAATTTCCTTCCGGTCTCTTTTTGGAGGAGCTAGGTTTGCCCATTCACCATCTGGGGCAGATCCTGATGTGGATATACACTACCGATCATCATAAATTCTGTATTATCTCCTGGGCTCTAACTTCCTAGCTCCACCATTTACTATATTAGATTTTGAGCAAGGGACTTAAGTCCTCAGGACTTTATCATTCAGCAAAATGAAGACAATAATTGTACCTATCTTACAGGGCTGTTGTAAGAAGCGTAAGCAATAAATAATACGTGCTAGGTGCTTATGACACATTGTCATTCAACTGCTTATTATTCATCATCTCTTTACCAGCTGAAAAATCTTCATCATATTTAAATATTTTATTATTTAAGTAAATTCCTGTTGCTGAATGCTCAAGTTGGTTCCAATATTTTCCTATTATAAATGGTGCACTGAAAACTTAAACGTCTTTATATATAACGTTTATTTCTATTGCTTAGGCTAGTTTCAGAAATAAAATCAACAGATCCCAGAGTATAAACATTTTTATGAGGGGGCACCTGGGTTGCTCAGTCAGTTCAGCGTCCGACTTCAGCTCAGGTCATGATCTTGCGGTTTGTGGGTTCGAGCCCCACATCAGGCTCTGTGCTGACAGCTCAGAGCCTAGAGCTTGATTCAGAATCTTTGTATCCTTCTCTGTCTGCCCCTCCACCGCTCACACTCTGTCTCTCTCTCTCTCAAAAATAAATAAACATGAAATTAAAAAATTTAAGTACTTTTATGAGTCTTGATCCAGATTATCAAATTATTCATAAACTATTAGGAATTATGCTATCGCCAATGTATGAGGATGGCAATTTAATTATGTATTTGTGAGTAACATGCAATATTAGGAAAAAAATTGGAGGCAGTAATTTATGAGCACACAATCCTATGAAGCAAACTTGATAAATTATCTACCAATCTGAAATCGACCTTTGTGCGTTTGCCAAGAACTAGAGTGGCTCCCAAAGTCCTACTATTAGGGGTTTACTATACCCTCTATATGGGGTCTATGCTGGCCCCTGGGAAGCCCCAGGACATTTTTCTTTGGTGTAAGGAAGGAGGCAGTCATCACAGCAATGAGTCTTACTCATTTTGGAATAGTGCTGCATGTGTACAAAGCATTTCTGCATTCTCTCCTTTGGTCCTCACCACAATCCTTCTTTCATCTTAACCATGAGAACTTTAAAGCTCAAAAGAATTTTCAGGTAGACTTCAGCCACTCAGAGGAAAACAAAGTTGGAAGAACTCAGGTCTTCCACTTCCAAGGGCAATGCTGCTTCTATAGCAACAGGTTGGAGGGGAGCCAAGGCAGACAGGAGGTGCTTAGGCAGATGCCGAATCAATGACATGTGCGCTGATGGGTCAGAGCACAGTGGCAGCTCCAGGGTCAGCCTGACCCAGAGGTGAACCTTGTCTTCCCTACTTACAGTCTAAGCGACCCTCTGCCTCTGCAAGTTTCCTGTTCCCTTTCTCTGGGCCCCAGGGACGCTCATTTCACAGGGATGGACAGGAGAGAGTAAGAGTTCTCTAAGGGTCTTTCAATTTTTTTTTTAAATGTTTATTTTTGAGAAAGAGAGAGAGGCAGAGAGACAGAGTGTGAGCAGGGGAGGGGCAGAGAGAGAGGGAGACAGAATCTGAAGCAGACTTTGAGCTGTCAGCACAGAGCCTGACACAGGGCTTGAACCCACGAACCGTGAGATCATGACCTGAGATGAAGTCGGACGCTTAACTGACTTGAGCCTCCCAGGCGCCCCTCTAACAGTCTTTATAATGAGACAATACTTTGTGGACAGCTGGGATGTGACCCCAGTACCTCACCTCGGCTCTCTTCTAAATGCTGACGGTAACAGTTCAGCATAACACACAGATTAGCATCTCATTTTAGAGGCCATGACCTGCCAAACTGAGTAGCTAAAATGTAACGAATCTGCTGCAATTCCTTATAGTAATTAACATCTTCTATTCTTTACAGTTATCTTTTTCAACAGCAAATAGAGATAGTTACTGAGGATTTCTGACAGACACAGCAAATAAATGCCATGCATAGTAAGGAGTATAATACCTTGCCAACTGGAGAGAAGGAATAAACTACAGCAAAATAAAAATTGTGTATCTCTATCTCAGCATGAGGAAAGTTCAGTTCATTCTTTAAGTCGGTCCTCTCTCCTTTATCATCTAGACTTAGGGCAGGGGAAAATTTCTTTTATCCTTTGCTTTGGAGACATCTACTGCAAAACACAAATTCTAATCCCCTGTGTCTGTTCTCAGCTCCGGTGGAGAAATAAAATCACCATGCGGTAACGACTGCCACCTCGTGGCCACACATGAAACTATCACTAGGAAAAATAAACCGCCAATGCTTAAGATTTCACCTGCTGAACATTGTAGAAATTCGGTGTGGCCACCAATAATTTGTTATATTGTATAATTTATATTTTTCCAGAAAATTATGCACTCTTCATGCTATTTTCACTGGGCTCTCAGTGTTTTCCAGGCTTATTTCTTGTTCTACTCTACCATAACACAATCTAATTGTGGTGAGACTTCTGACGGCTTCTATAGAATCATAGGGATCTCCTTTGGCAGGCAGAAGTCCCCCGGAGTTGAGCGTGAGACACTTCGTTGTTCGTTCATTAGAGTAACTTTAAATAATGGCCACTGCTCCACCAGACTAAGTTCACTACCTGCCTGTCAACTGTCTGATTCAAAGGTTGTCAGCCAGTTTAGATCATCTAACTCAATATCATAGAAAACCATCCACTCTTTGGCTCAGGCCGTAGAAAGATGATCTGAGTGTAGCCCTGTTTGGCTGTGTGATTCACGGTAGAAGCCTGAGGCTCAAGCCTGAAATGCAGGCAGACAACTGGTTTCCATCAAATGATACCATCCTTCTTGACAGGGCTGTTTTCAAGCCTGAGCTGTCACCCTATTCCCCTCTGCGATAATCGCTGGATGGGAGAGGTGAGGAGGGCTTTGTGTAGGCAAAGCACAGAGCACAGGAAATAGAATTTCAAGGCTTCTCCAGGAAGCGAAGAGGATGAGCATAACTGGAGCGTCCAAGGAAGCCAGGAATGGGCAGCCCAGAATCAGGCAGGGCAGCAGGGGCAGTGCGGGCTCCAGGGCTGTTTTACTGAACGACGGACCATGAGGTGAGGAGGGTGTGGCCTCCTTGAGTGCAGACCATGAGGGGAAGGAGCATTAACTGACTCCCCAGCTCCTTTCAGTATGCTTGGCTGGCATGAGAGTACACACTCTTCATACATCCTGTCTCCCAGCTCCTAGGCTTGCCTGCCACCCCCACCTTCTCCAGGCTGCACAGGGTCAACGTATTTAAACACAAGTGATCCTTACACATCTGCGAATGAATGTTCAGCCTCACTCACAGTTCCAGAGATGCCAATTAGGACTCTGAAGAAACCATTTTGTAAATCTCTCTGATCATCAAAATGATAGGCTACATGGTGCGATGGGACAACGGGGGAAAGAGGCCTCACGCACGGCTTCAAAGTGTACCTTTAAAAATATGGCAAGCAAGAGATAAGAGCCTGGGCTCTACATTCAGGCTGCCCAGTGTCAAAACCTCCATCTCTTGGAAGCTAAATTTCTTTGGGCCTCAGTCTCCTTCTCTGGAAAAATGGGAGTGGTGTTAACAGAACTCACTTCACAGGGCTACTCTAAGGATTAAGTGAGACAATGTTCATAGACACTTAGAACAGTGCCTGGTATATAGGTGTTAAAATGTTAGCCATCTTGAACTGCTAGGGGGAAGAAGGCCAATTGGACTCAGTCAAAATTTTAAATGCACATACCACTGCCCAAACAATACCACTGCTAATAGTATGTCATACAGAAATAAAAGAACAATACGTAAAGATCAAAGTACAAGGGGACTCACTGCCGCATTGATTGGAATAAAACTGCTAGGCACAATCTAAATGTATAACAATAGGAAACAAGTTATATAAATTATGTCCTGGTCTTGGGATACTATGCAACTATTTAAAAAAAAATTTTTTTTAATGTTTTTTTATTTTTGAGAGAGAAACAGTGTGAGCAGGGAAGGGCAGAGAGAGAGGGAGATGCAGAATCTGAAGCAGGCTCCAGGCTCTGAACTGTCAGCACAGAGCCCGATGCGGGGCTCGAACTCATGAACACTGAGATCATGACCCGAGCCGAAGTCAGACACGTAACCCACTGAGCCACCCAAACGCCCCACTCTGCAGTTATTTTAAAAATAAGGCAGCTGGAAGGGCACGTGGGTGGCTCAGCAGGTTAATCATCCAACTTTGGCTCATGTCATGATCTCCCAGTGAGCAAAGTATCCTTACCATTTGTGTTTTTAAAAAATACAGATACATGTATGTAGTGTGGGTGTATGCTTTCCTGTGCAATAAATTCTCTGGAAAGGTACATAATGAAATCAGTAATAACAGTTTCCTTCAGAGGAAGGATACAGATAATTAAAGGATGCTTCTATTACCAATTGCAGAAAGTTACCTTTTTTATACTTAAAAAATACAACCTGATCTGTCATTCGTCTGCTAAATTTCTTCCATTTGCTCTCAGAACTAAAACCCAAGCTCCTTCACAGAGCCTAGAATGGGAGTTCATCCTTCTAAAGTCTGATGCACTTCTTTATGAAACCTTTAACATCTGAACTCTTTAAGAAAGGAGGGCATTGAGGTGATGCGTGTGAGTCCTACTTACAGGCGTTTGAAAGCAGCAGAACAACTGAGTGAGGAAGGGGTGATTGCGAGCCAAGGACAGGATCCTTTTTTCTGTCATTGTGCATTCCACATCGTCATCCTGCAGGATCACATCCTTCTTCAACACCTTCACGGCATAGAGGTCTCCGGTTTCTTTTATTCTTGCCAGCATCACCTACGGCAGCGCGGGAGGATGGAGCACAGGCGTGAGAACTCTTGAGGCTCCGAGGGTGTGGGAACACACACTTCCCGGCACTTGGGAAGTATGCGTGTGTATACACACACGCACACTCAAACATGCTTCCTTTAACCCGGACACCTAAAGTCATGACTCACCTTCCCGAAACTCCCCTTCCCCAACACTCGGATGAACTCAAAGTTGTCGATACCAAGTCGGCTGGAAGAGTTAACCCCGATCCCATTTCCTTCTTTGGTGCTTTCCCTTCCCTGTCGTCTTAGAGTCGACCTGGAAACGAGCTTCTGCAAGGAAGAGTAGGAAAACATGGAGTCAGAAGTCGTGGCAGGTGCATGAAGCATTTATGGATGCAGAAGACGTTACTGGCTGCCTCAACCCTCGACACAACAGGTGGGGAAAGATCAATTCAGCTTGACACGTTATCAGGTTCTGCCATGCGAAACTACTTCAGTACCAGCTCCCGATGTGTGCTGACTATATTTAGGAAAGAATAACTTAAAAATATATCTAAGCCACTGAGAGTTTCAGTTTGAGCCCTAATGGGAGTGTATGAAGCACAAACGCCTTAGTCTGGTGTGACGGCTTTCTAGAGGATGCTCAGGATCCAAGAGCGCCACCTGGTGTCCATTTCATTCACAGAGTGGTTTTCACAGTTGTTCAGAGGATCCGCACCAGGATGTGAATGAACGAAGCAATATTTATTACACAGTATTTAAAATTACATAAGAGAAATAAAAATTAATGTACAACTAGAATAATGAAGGATAAAATTTTAAACACCGCTAATTTTATTAGCTCCCCCCTCCAAAAATAAAAAATAAAAGCAATTAGACATACACACATACCTATCTTTACTTACACTTGATTAGTTTTTAAAAATATAATAAAATTGTTGTTTCATAACACACATTTTTATGTAACACTTTGTCATGTGTATTTTCTATATCCTTCAAGAACACGAGTTTTAAGGGCTGTTCGATATTCTGTTTTATGGATGCATCACAGTTTATTCATTAATTCCCCTGCTACTGGAATGCAAATTATTATGAGAAATGAATAAATGTATATAAAGCACTTAGATCGGTGCCCGGCCTCTTTAAAACACAAGCTGAGCTGCTGTTATTATCATCATGATCACGATCATCATCTATTTTCTTAAGATGACTTTCCAGAAATGGAATCTTTAGGGCCCAAATGTTAATTTGGAAGACTTCTGATACACAGCCAACTTGCCCTCTACAAAAGCTGACCACCAGCACATTGAGAGCTCCACTGTCACCATATTGAACCAGAAATAGGTGTGGCCTCCTCAGTGGGTAACTCAGCCCCAGGAACAAGCCCTGCCACAGAGAGGAGGCTACCTAAAGGCAAAGTGACACACAGGTGTCCATCTCGGGACACTTATAAGATAAGCTGCCACCAGACACCAGATGAGAAGTCTAACACTCTGTAGCTTTTGACCTATTTAGCTAAAAAACCCCAGCTCATCTGGAGCGACTTCTAAGCAATGTTTCCAACAAACAACTGTGCAACTGCTTGAAGCTACAAGGATTTTACTTAGTGCCCCAGTAAAACAGTGATTACAGATTATCAAATGGATAGACTGAAAAATCCAATTGTTTTTAATAGTTTCTCCTCCAGGTCTCTGCTCATAAATATTTCAAAGACAGAAAAATTTTACCAGCATGAATCTCACTTCCTCCACTTAAATACTTCTCCTGGTTGGGCTGGTACTGGCCAGAAAACCCTAAGCCAGTATTTCTCAATCTTTTTTTTTTTTTTTAACCCATTCTTCTCTTTTGATAGACTTAAGGTTCTTTTCATGCTTTGCTGTCAAACAACAGGTAATTTTGTTTTTTCCACTTTCAAATAGAATATCAAAGATACTTGGTTCAAATGACAAATGACATTGCCCACTCAAGAGGTTTTGCCACATGGTCTATCTTTTTTTTTTTTTTTTTAATTTTTTTTGTTTTCAACGTTTATTTATTTTTGGGACAGAGAGAGACAGAGCATGAACGGGGGAGGGGCAGAGAGAGAGGGAGACACAGAATCGGAAACAGGCTCCAGGCTCCGAGCCATCAGCCCAGAGCCCGACGCGGGGCTCGAACTCACGGACCGCGAGATCGTGACCTGGCTCAAGTCAGACGCTTAACTGACTGCACCACCCAGGTGCCCCAAGGTCTATCTTATTCTCATTACAGTTTAGGAGCCCTGGTGCAAGCTGAAATCCTTAACCTATGCCCTTCGGGAACAGCTGTCTCATGCATTAGAAATACCCCTCATGGTATTAGCATCCTGCCTGTCTCTCCATGAGCTAGACATTAGACTTTGCTAATGCTTTCCTGAAATAAAGGAATACAATGTGTGTCCAAGGCCCTAATCTACTAGTAATAAGGAAATGGGATGGTGAGTACGGACATTTTCTGGATAACCAAGAACTTGACTGTGATTGTGCTTCTCTTCCTAAGCGCCCAGAGATATTTAACAGTTAACTCTAGAGTTTTCCTAAACCGGATATCAAGCTACACCTTTCACAAACCACAGCAGTAGCCACGGCTCTTTCCCAGCAGTTTGTAGACCCAGCCAGGAAGGCAGCAAAAGCACTTGGGCCTGGGAAGTGGTCGAGGCTCTAACGGTCAATAGCAAGGAGGTCACTCAGGGAGGCTGCAAGACAAAACATGTCCGCAGCAACTGACCAACTCCACCCACTCCCAAGAGCCGAGAGGAAGGAACTCCTGTTTGTCGCTGAGTTTGAGAGATAAATTCACAATCCATAAACAAAAACTGCAGAACAGCTAGACTCCAGCGTGGTGGAGAATCTTCAAGTTCAACCCCTTTAGAGAAGAGGAAGCTGAGGCCCACAGTTGCTGGTCAACTGTGCCGCCAGGGCCCCAGCTGAGAGTTAAGAGGATAACCCAGGGCCCTGGATTCCAGGGTTTCATCAGACCACACTGACAGGAAGCTAATTACAAAAAAAAAAAAAAATCCTTCTGCTTCCTGCTTGTCATTTCTTGTCATATAATTGTATAAAGAATCTTCTTTTTGTGGACCAAAATGCTCTTTAAAAATACAATAAATCTGCAAATATGTTTGCTGATATTAGGAACTTTGATTACACCACATTCCCTCATTCGGACTCACTGCATCTGAGCAACTTCTAAATTACAATACAGTGAAAAAAGCAAAGTCTCACCGAGGTTGGAGAAATATTTCCGGGCTGGAGGCCCATCCCGGCCAGGGTCTTGGCGAGCTCCACCGCGTTCACCCCACAGTTAGGGGCCACGTTTGCCTGGCATCGAATGTGGACATTCATCTTACATACTAGAAGGGAGAGGAGAAGGGAATCCACATTCAGGAAGGAGCCAAGCCAACACGTGCCGCAAAAAACAACTTTAACAACCTGAAAGATGATGACAGAGGAATTCTACGGGCTGAGCAATGCCATCTTCTCATAAACCTGAACTTGCTCTCAAAACAATCCCTGACACTTTCTCTGTGTCTGCTTTGTGCAGAAGCGGAAAGTCTGGCACACTGAATGAAAAATAAATTTCAAATCCATTTCTTTCCACTGTGACTTGATGAAAGACATTCACCTAAATCATGTGTACTAGGCATGGCCGATTGACAAACATGATTCAATACAGAAATCAAAATGTTCATCACAGTGACAATTCAAGGAACTCACAAGGAATCATGCCAACAGACTTTATGCTTTTCTTTGTATTGCTCAATAAAAGGCAGCAATCTAAAGGCCACATTATAGAGCACTGTTCAAACAGGATGGAGATGGTGTTTCTGAGAGAAAAACCTCTAAGTAAAGCTTTCTTTCCGAGTACTGTTGTGGTTGGGTAGCCCTCGCAGCACAGGACACGGCATCCTGTGGGGGCTGTGCTTCTCGGCACTCAGCCTGTGGTTCTAACTCCTTCGTGGGGGAGAAAAGCAACTTTTTTAAAGGTCAAAGTAAATGGCAGTTGGAAGAGGACAGAAGCAAGCTAAGTTCCTGGTGCACAGGAAACTGACTTGGGAGGATGAAGGACCCAAGGTTTAATCAGCAGAAAGTTCTGTCAGTTTCTTTCCATGGGCACTGCTGATGGGAGGTAGGAATGGAACAGCAAGCAGCAGATGCCTGGAGCTTCCACCTATCTTTGGAAGCGTGCACAGATCCCGGTTTTGTGGGGTCTGCATTTGTGTAATTTAGGGTGCCCCTCTTTAAGAAAAAGAATATCCAATCGAGTGGAGCTCTGGAAGACACCTTTGCAAGGGAAGGAGCCTGAGGCTGAAGCCTCATTAGCTTCACGTGCCCTTTCTGAAGAACCAGGTGACAAGAAAAGCAAAAATTATAGGCGATGGATCACTACAGGTGTGCTACCCTCCGGCCTCAGGGGGCAAGGACAATGCAGATGAGCCCCACGCATGGCTCTGCATTGTCAACAACAACCATACAAAAGCAGAAAGTGACTTTTGCACTGGAAACCCACACTGGGGGAGACCTTCCAGGTTAAGACCCAGCAAGGCCAGAACTGAAGCTACACATGAGCTGGTTGCTGTTTAGGTTCAAAACTAATTATTTAATATATCTAGGAAAAAAGAATTATTAAGTAAAGTTCTAATGAGATTACAGAATTTGTCTTTCGTAAAGACAAGTGACTAGTCCCTTTCTGTCGACAGAAGCGGGCTTTGTAAGTCCAGGCAATAGATGGAAGTCGTCCAGCTGCAATGATACCAACTCTGCCTCCCCCAGTCACTCAGGATTTATCTAAAGCTTAAGGCTGACATTCACTTGTATTTCAGCATGGGACTGCATCCCAGGATGGCCATATTGTTACAGCAACACCCAGTGGGAGATAGCTCAAGGCCAACAGCTTCCCAACTCCTCGCAGGACAGGAATCAGTCCTTAATCCCAGACCCTTTGCTACAGCAAAAGCTCCAAACTCGGGCTCCACTGGGCATAGTTAGTGAGGTGCAAGCCCGTGGCTGAAGTTTAAGCATCCTTCACACCCCATACCTCTCCAATCTCTATCAATCTCTTTGAGAAGACTCAGGGCAGCTCTCCTTGTGCTTTTACTCAATTCTTGCTTATTTCTGGTAAAGGCACTAGACCTACTCTCCTGCCTGTTCTTACTCATAACTCAAGCCTCTCTTTTTTGGGCACCTTGCCTCCTACCGTCTTCTATTTCTGACCAAGATCCCATTTCCCCCCTTTTCCAAATACACAACAATTAGCAGGCACTCGGCACTAAACAGATGACAGCCAGCTAGACAGAACATTGAATTTAACAACTGACTAAATCTACAGTTAGGAACTCTTAAAACCAGATGTAGCTCTTTTTACATGCCTGACAAGGGACACATACATACAGAACCGGTAAGATTTAATTTACAAAGTATCCAAAACCACCGGTCCTAGGTCAGAATCGGAACCTATAGAATTCCGAAAGCTTGTGGCATGGTGACCTCATGAAGTGGGCACGTGGCAGCCCAGCATCTCACTTTTACACTGAAGTCCTTGTCGCATTATCCCCCAGAGCAGGGAGCCACAGTGATCGCAGAACGTTGGCACTTTGTAGTTGTGGACGCTGAATTTGTGCGGGATGTTGATTCCGAACCTCTGTTCAGCAATCTGTAAACAGGGAACAGAAGGACGGGAGCTAGCATTCCAGGCCAACACCTTTCATGCAGAGGTAACAGGAGCCCCCCAAATGCAAAGCGTTACCGTGACACCTGAGCTGGGTATATCATTTCACTGTACTCAGGCCTTACTCACCAGACTGTGCACATTTTCTAAGGAACAAGACTCAACAGAAAGGGTGTAGTGAGCATTAGATTGTTCACCCTTTGGGAAGATAAGTAGAAATTAAAACCATTTTATCATCTTTTATATTCAGGCTGTATATCTCTCCCTGCCAACTCCCCCACACCCGTATCTATTTCCTAGAGCCTCTTAGTTTCAGGATTAAACAGGTCTTTTATAGACTATATCCACTTGTTATTACCAGGAGTTTTTCCAGATATTGTGGGGGGCAGAGGGGAGAAGGCAGCACCCAGGGAGCATGGAACTGAAGAAGGGATTCATTCCAGGGGACATTCAAGTGGCTTCCTCAGCCCTTCCAGCCTTTGCCTGGCATTTGTGTTGTGACAATCTGAGGGCAGAGGTCCTGCTTTAATCTCACAAACTGATTCCAGCAAATAATCAGACCAGGCACATGCTGTATGTGTGCTATGTGTGTGCTATATGTGCTAATGGGTGATATATGTGCTATATGTGTGCTGTAGGGCATCATTGAGTTTCAAAGTCAGACTCTCCAGTGCATCTGTAAATCCGCTGATTGTCAGCAATATTCCATCTGCTTTCTAGCTCCAGAATCTGGAATGTGCCTACCCTAGCTGAACACAATACAAGTTACAAGAATGAGGATCAGGCATTTATATACAGAAATGCATCCTCCCTGACATTTGGGAAGACAATGGAGGAGGCTAATGGTCGCCTTATTGAGAAAGCACAATTTACAGTTAACAAATACTCATCACATCAATTCTATCCTGCTTAACACTCACAAAAACTGTGTGAAGGAAATATGAATCCCATTTTTAAGACTGAGCTAAGAGAGAAGCTAACTAGCAGAGGCTGGATTCCACATCAACTCCTGGTCATGTGATGCCAAACTCAGGGATCTTTTCGGTCAGTCCTCCAAAAACTCTCTCCGAATTAGCAAAATTGATCCTGAGAGCTTGTAACCAGCTGATCACTAAGTGGGATCAACTCAAGGACAGGTCAAACTACACAAGCATAGAAATAAAAATACCATAATATAAAAAAGAGAGAATTCAATTCTGATACCACCATCAGCTTCAAAGAGCGTGGAAGGGAAGTGGAAAGAGGAGGGAGAGAGAAAAAAAAAAAAAGAGAGCGAGAAGCATGCACGTGAGCTTGTGCAGGCACCTAATTAGCAAACTGCTATCTTCTTACCTTTGAATCCACTTTGTTAATATTATTTTGGCAAGTGCAGGCCGTAACAATTAGGTGATGGCAGCGCTTATGGACGACACAGGTGCACACTAGGAAATTAAGCCCACAATTACACATTCATCGGAGGCTGAAGGTCTACCAGTTACAGTCGAGTCAACAAGGGCTGCACCGCATCAACAAGGGCTGCAAGCTGACTTGATGTGGGTATGTGGCCCACATGATGGCAGCCAGCACACCCGTCCTTCCCATCGTCTTTACTATCAACCTAACTCATGCCTTTGCTCACACTCAAACTATTTGCACTCAAGTCCTGAGCTTATTTCGTCCTTTCTGGCTTTGATCCCACACTCACCCCGACAGGAATCCTCTCACAGTATAATTCTGGTCACCTTGCCCCATGATCTAAACCTTCAATGGCTTCTCACTGCCCAAGAGTAGAGTTCAAATTTCCCGGCCAAGTGTCAGGCCCTCCAGAAGCTAGCCAAGCTTACTTGTTACCTTTCTTCTATGGGAGCTCTTTGTTCTAATAGAAACTAGACTAGCTGCTCTTCCTGGAGCAGGCTTCACCCTCCCTGCACACTGACCGTGTCCTGCTTAATCCCTAGGATATCCTCTTTGCCTACCGCCTAACTAAATCTTAAGTTTGTATCAAGACAACGACTTAAAAAATGTCTCTTCCGTTAAAATATACTATCCCTGGCTCCCCTTCTAGAGAGACTAAACCATCTCTGTCTCCTCAAATCTCTACAACCCTTAGCTTGCCTGTCATTTCAAATCTTCCACATATAGCCTCTATAACCCTTAGAATTCCTGGGCAGCATGATGCCTCAAACAAAGTAGGCACTCATCAAATATTTGCAGGATGACTCAGTCAACTATTTAAACACTTAGAACTTCTGAATAACTTTTTTTTCCATTTTCATCTGGATACTGACACAGTGCAGACAGAATTCAGTTTGCCATTAAAAGATGAACAATCTGCAATGAAGCAGTATGAAAATACGTGTTATTTTTAAGATCTTTCAGGGCATGTGGAGGTTTTTAGGGTTAAATACATAAATACAGATGACATGTCAGCAAATAGAGATATACTTTAAAAAAAAATCTAGCTTTCATCAGACTGAATTTGCAGGAGAACCAAACTGAAAGTTCCCAGAGAACTGATCCTTTTATATGCGGGGATCTCAAAACCATCCCTCACCAAGACAAAACCTACATTCTGAGGAATCTGAGGTTTGCTTGTTTTTTATCCATTAGCTTGGCTAGAGGTTTATCAATTTTATTGACCTTTTCAAAGAACCAGCTTTTTATTTGGTGGATTTTCTCTATTGGTTTCCTAATTTCAATTTTACTGATTTCTGCTTTAATTGTATTATTTCTTTTCTTCTGCTCACTTTAAGCTTCTCTCCTTTTTCTAGCTTCCTAAGATGAAAACCTAGATTACTGGTTTTAGATCCTTCTTTCCTAATAAATGTATTTAATGGTATAAATTTTCCTCTGAGTACTGTTTTTACTGTAACCCACAAATTTTCATAAACTGTATTTTCATTTATTTCACAATAGTTTTTATTTTTCTTGAGTCTTCTTTTACCCATGTGTTATTTTGAATGTGTTGTTTAATCTCCAAATATGTGGGGGGGGGGTGGGGGGTGGGGGGCTTTCCAGCTACGTTTCTGATTCATGTGTGCATTAATTCCACTGTGCTCTGAAAAAATACTTTTTATGATTTCTATTCTCTTAAATTTGTTAAGACTTACATCACAGGCCAGAATGTGGTCTATATTAATATTCCTTGTGAGCTTAAGAATGTATATTCTGCTGTTGTTAGGTGGGGTAGTCTATAAATGTCAATTTGATCAAATTGTAATATCCTTACAGAATTTCTGTCTGCTGGACCTCAGTTACTGAGATATTGAAGTCACCCCACTGTAATAGTGGATTCGTCTATATATCCTTGCAGTTCTATGAGTTTTTGCCTCATGTATTTTGATACTCTGTTGTCAGGTGCCTATATGTTAAAGATTATTATGTCTTCTTGAAAAATGGATCCCTCTTGAAACAGGAACCTTCTCGCACTGTTGGTGGGAATGCAAACTGGTGTAGCCACTCTGGAAAACAGTGTGGAGGTTCCTCAAAATATTAAAAATAGATCTACCCTATGACCCAGCAATAGCACTGCTAGGAATTTACCCAAGGGATACAGGAGTGCTGATGCATAGGGGCATTTGTATCCCAATGTATATAGCAGCACTTTCAACAATAGCTAAATTATGGAAAGAGGTTAAATGTCCATCAACTGATGAATGGATAAAGAAGTTGTGGTTTATATATACAATGGAATGCTACTTGGCAATGAGAAAGAATGAAATATAGCCTTTTGTAGCAACGTGGATGGAATTGGAGAGTGTGATGCTAAGTGAAATCAGTCATACAGACAAAGACCGATACCATATGTTTTCACTCTTATGTGGATCCTGAGAAACTTAACAGAAGACCATGGGGGAAGGGAGGGGGAAAAAAAAAGTTAGAGAGGGAGGGAGGTAAACCATAAGAGACTCTTAAAAACTGAGGATAAACTGAGGGTTGATAGGGGGTGGGAGGGAAGGGAGGGTGGGTGATGGGCATTGAGGAGGGCACCTGTTGGGATGAGCACTGGGTGTTGTATGGAAACCAATTTGACAATAAATTTCATATTAAAGAAAAAGAAAAATGGATCCCTTTATCATTACATAATTCCTCTCCTTATCCCTGAAATTTTTCTTTGTTCCGAAATCTGTTTTGTCTATTTCATTTGACTAATGTTAGCATGGTGTACCCTTCTCAACCAGGTATTTGGTTTTATGCCCCTTAACAAGATGTGAACATTTTTCCTGACCAATGGTCTTTCCTGCTCTTTCAACAACAGGTGGCCCACTAAAAGTCAGCCCATCAAATATCCTGGCACTATGCAGAAGAATGACCAGAGGTGACTAAAGGGCATGTCCCTGTGCTGGAGAGGTGCCAAAAGGTGACATCAATTCTCAGCTGTGAACTATGCTGTCACCTGAGTCTGAGATTAACAGCATAAAGTCAATTATTGTTGCCATAACAGTATTGTTTTCCAAATTTGAAAATGCAGAACTGCTTACATGTGAAAATGAAAACTACATCCAAGAGTGTGTCCTACTCCATTCTAAGGGAAATAATGTTCTACCTCACCTTCTCCAGAAGAGAAGGCAGACTTTCCTTATTACCATGGAGGCTACCACTCCAGGATATGTAGCGCTATTTTACCAATCATCTGTAGAGTACAAATCAAGAAAAGAGGTACCATACATATATACTGTGTAATGATGTTCAAGCCAACAACAAGAAAGGGCCCAATAGAAGACAAATCAATCCAGTCTGGCCAAATCTAAGTAAGAGCCTTCTTTCACTTGTTTCTCTCTAACTTTCAACAATTCTCATAGTTTCTTTTTTCTTTCTTCTTTTTGGAGTTAGAAAATGAAAAAGGAGCTGGGATAATAGTTTCTATTCCCTCTGCAGGTAAACAAGCAACGCTGTGCCACTTCTCACCTCTATTAACACTGGGGTTGTAAAAGACAACAATTTAGCTTCAGGATTCAAGGGCACTGCTCACAAAATGGCATTACCTGTAGTGCTTTCATTTTATTGCAGAGACAAAATTCTAAACAATTAAACTCTATTAGGTATCTGGGCTTTAGAAATAAAAATGCCCCCTCTATGCCGTCTAAAATGTAGCCAAAGTTTAAACCACAACTAAAAAGCAGTAATTCTGTAGGGGTCTCACCTGACCCGCTGAGTTATTTATCACAGTATTAATGAAATGTATCCTGTTTCCTCTTAGTATAATCAGTTTTTAACACAGGAACAAGATTAAATATGGGTTTCAAAAGTGTTTTCTTACCTTGACATTGATAACCCTGTTTCCCAAATACTCCCCTGTTCAAGACAATAGAGAAAAAAAGTTATCATCAGTCAAAATATTTCAGCAACGATGCTCCTCTAAGCATAGTACTTAAGGAAAACAAACACATGTCATCCTCTGCTCCTGTATGAAAAATACAATTTCAGAGAAGAGGCAAAGGTGAGGTGATTTCTGAGCGCTTGTCTGTTACCACGAGACACAGAGGAAGTCACCTGATTCGAATGCTCCAGTGACACACACAGGTGGGTATCGGCCATCCTCCCTGTACCACCTCCCCCTACGGCAAACCCAGGTCCTCGTCTGCTTGTGTGACTGAGTCTCAGCTTGAAGCGTCACTCCACCACCTTCTTTGGCATTCTCACCCCCATCCGCATAAAGATGCGCAGGTAGTGAAGCAAACAGAGGAGTCCACTGCGGCTGCCTGGCCTGAGGCACCCTTCCTCTTCCCTGTGCCCACATCACCCCCCTGGAGTCCAATGGGGGGGGGGGGCGGGGACAGAAGTGCCGCCACAAGAGACCCGTCAGGCCCACAGCTACCCTCTTGGTCTCACCCTAAATATCTTCTCTGGATGGTGATATCATCATTGTCATTTAACAGAGAACCCATTTTATTATTTTATTAAGCTCAGAGGTTGTGCCAGGCACTGAGCCAAGCTGCTGACATATAGCATCTCATTTAATCCTCACAAGAGTCATGTGAGGCAGCACACATAACAGGAAGGCTCAGAGCACAGACCCTGACACCAGACGGCCTAGGCATGATTTGGGGCATGATGTTAACTCCTTTGGGCCACAGTTTCCTCATCTATAAAGGGCGATAATGATCGCAGTACCTACTTCATAGGGTTATCATGAAGATAAAGAGAGTTGATCATGTAAAATGCTTAGAATAGTGTCTGGTACTTTAAGTGCTATATAGAAGTTTATTATACAAGCAAAAAAACCCTTATCTTTATGTTACAAATAAGGAGACACTGATAGATTATATAACTTAACTAGGTTGACACATCTAGTTGGTGATGAGATTGAATGCCAGAGTCCATACTCTTAACCATAATATGTGGCACATATATCAATATTGTGTGCATGTGAGAGAGAGCAAGGTGGGGAGAGAGAGAGAGAGAGAGAAAGAGAGAGAGAGAGAGCGCAATCGAAGGCTGGTTGAGTGGGAGTTAATGTTCCCTTGGTGGAAAACATTTAGTGAAATTACCAAATAAGTTTCCATTAAGAACGTTAGTTGAGGTCACAGGTTGTCACCACAAATGCTCAAAGGGGCAGGCAGGTCACATAAAGGAAGGAGGCAGAACGGTGTGACATGAAATAGTGACAGACCTTGTAGGTCAGGTAAACCGCAAGGAGAGGGGGATGGCAGCTACCTCGGGTGTTCAGACCTACTGCAAGGGCAGAAAACGGGTTCAAAGATGCCAGAGCTTCTGATTTGTTCAATAGGAAGTGCAGCAGAAGCCTGCTTCTGAAGACGAGCGTTGTGATGGCACATTTGTAGGCATCGTGTCAACAGCCAGCTTAGGGTCTCTGGTTTAGATAAGACTCTATTCGTAATTTAAAATTCCAGGAACACTAACCCTGGATTCTGACTGCTAAAAGGTATAAAAACCAAAGCAATCACAAAACAAAACAAAACAAAACAAAACAAAACAAAACCCCACAAAATACAAACTCATTAATCAATACTCAAAAAACTTACTCTGAACCAAGAGCTTTTGACTTAAAGTGACAAAAGTTTGCAACAAAAAACAAGGATCTCTTTTCATGCTATAGAGATTAAACAGTCTTTTCTACCTCAGAGATGGGTTTGTATGTATATGTTCGGATGTGTGTGAGGGGGCATTTCCTTCCTCTTTCTAAATGTGCTTAAAGTTAGCTCTAATTGAACATAACTATTAACTTAAATTTATTTTACATTATAGATTTGTCACTGAGGCTTAAGCTTCAGTCACATGTATAATAAGATGCTGCCCCAATTCATCTAGAAGTTCTCAACTGTTAATTATCTCAATTCCTAAATGCCAAGGATTATAGCATACAATCACTGAAAGTTATTACCTTTGGCCACATACCATAAGGCTGAAGATTACTGTGTGCTTACTTGATCTGCAACAGTTAATTTCTATAACTCATCATGTGACTCATACTTTTTTATTTTCTCTCTTACTCAGGGGCTGATTATCCAATTTATTGATTATCTATGTACTGATTGATTAGCTTCCCTAATTACTGCTTTTTAACCAGTTCCTGTTCATTAGCACCTTTCCCCAAAGGACTGGGAAAAGAAATAACACCTAAAACTTGGATCTGCAAATGGTTCAGATGTTTTTCATTGGCAATTTAAATCGCCGGGTCAACATATTAGAATGAAAGACAAAAACCAGATCCTAAAACAATTCTTAATAATCATGTTTCCTTCTAAAACCACATACAAGCAGAGGAGGCCTGGATTATAGAAAGAAGCTTCTAGGAAGAGAGAAGCCAGGGAACCACTTACCAGATGAACTCCCTGCAGTGAGAGCAGTAGGTGGGCTGCCTCAGGTATGTGGCCATAAACTTGTGTCCATTGATTTGGTGGACACGCCTTCGCATAGCCCTTTGGCGCTTCCTGGTAAAATGTTTGAAGATTCGGTCTCTCTGGAGAGTTGCTGTACATTAAAAGAAAGGAGAAAAGAATAATGTGCAACAAATCTAGCTGTACCTAACATATGGGAAAGCGTAATAGCTCCAAACACTCTCCAAAATTGTTTCTTCTTTCTTCACGATGCACAACACCCCAGAACATCCCCATGCTTCCTCTTCCTAGTGACCTTAGGACTCCGAATTTGTAAGGTTGGACCTAAGTGAACTCTGAGATACCCACTGCCTGATTAGAACTAGCTACCTTGGACCAGTCTCCCCAGCACACACCATGAGTTTCCCAGGGTTCTAATGTTCCAGTATGGGACATTAGCCTGGCCTTCTAGCTCCTGTCCAGCTGGATGGGACCTCAGGTCCATAGATTGGCTATAACTATGAGCAGGTAAAACAGATTTCTCATTATTTGCCTTTCATTCTGGCATCCTCACCAACAGAAGGAGGGAATGGCCATAGCCCAGTGAGAGTGCTGCCCAAAAGCATCAGTCTCAACACCATCTCTGTTAACTTGGAATGGGTAGAAATTCACTTGGGCTTGGTGCCAAGTTCCTCTTCCAACCTCACATTTTAAAAATGGTGGCTCCTCAAGAATCAAAACTGCTCACCGTTTAAAGATAGTAAATTAACTTTCCCAAGGTATAGAGAGACTTCCTCAATAATGCTTTCTGGGGCTCCTGGGCGGCTCAGTTGGTTAAACGTCCAACTCTTGATTTCAGCTCAGGTCATGATCTCATGGTTGTGAGATCAAGCCCCCCCCCCCCCCCCCCCCCCCCCCCAGTGGGCTCTGGGCTGGGTGTGGAGCTTGTTTGAGATTATCTCTCTCCTTCTCCCTGTGCCCCTCCCCCACTTGCACTCGCTCTCTCTCAAAAAGAAATAAATGAACTAAAATAAAATAATGCTTTTCAATTAATCACTTCAATGCAAAGAAAATGTAAGAAAGATACAAGAATAATCTAATAAATTTTAAAACCCGGAAGAAATAGAAGATTTCCATGAAAACATAAATGACTAAAATTAATTGAGCTACATAAACCAAATAGATGAATTTAAAAAAACAAAATGATAAGATTTTCTAAGGACTGCCTCTCGAAATCATCCAGGCCCAGAGAGTTTCATGCGTGAATTATTTTTAGCCTTTAAAAACAAGATGATGCTAGTGTTGAAACCTGTTCCAGAATAGAGGAGAAAAGAAAGCACCCTGTATTTTTATAGGGAACTATGTGATACAATCCTAGGACCAAAAGATAAAACAGATACATCTAAAGATATAACAGGAAAAAAAAAATCAGGGGTTAGTAATCATTTTTTATGTTGCAGACTCCTTAGTCCAGTGAAGCAAGCCTATGGATCCCTTCTCAGAGTCAAGCTTTATAATCTTAAAAAAAAAGTACACACACACACACACATAATTACAAAGGAAATCAAGTATCAAAATATATTTTAAGTGAGATAGAATAATATATATATATATTTTTTATTTTGGGAGTGTGTGAGTGGGGGAGGGGCAGGGGGAGGGATGGAGGGAGAGAGAGAAAGAGAGAGAGAGAGAGAGAGAGAGAGAGAGAGAGAGAGAGAGAATCTTAAGCAGGCTCCACACTCAGCCTAGAGCCCATCAGAGGGCTCCATCTCACGACCATGAGATCATGAGATCAGGTCATGATCTGAGCCAAAATCAAGAGTCGGACGCTTAACCGAGTGAGCCACCTAGGCACCCCAAGATCAATACAAATTTAAATTTATATTAAAATAAATTAAATACTTAGTGGCATACCTTATCATTGTAAGTGTGAAGAAGCGATGGGCAGTAGTTACTTTAGTAGTAGTGAAGTACTAGTTACATTTTAAAGTATCTATAAAAACTAACATAATGAAAATATCCAAGATTTCTATCGTGAGAACATCCTAAACACTGCTCATGCTTCTGTGGTTTAGTGAACAATGGGAGAAAATGCTACATTTACATTACAGGTTAGTGAAAATTTTTTCTCTCATCCACTTTCTGGACCACCTAACCTCTAATTACGGACTTCAGGAAAAGTACACCTCCGCTTACCTATCAAGCTCATTCATGAATACTGATGCAGAGATTTTCACTACTGAAGGCTGTATACTTACAAAGTGAACAGGAAAGCAATACTAGAAAATATTAGTATTTGCACGGTATGGGATTTTTTTCTTTCCCATTCTTTGACAATTAGTCCCCAACACAAATATTCCTTCCCACTTAATAACAGCATCTACTCTAGCCCCTCACATTGTCTTCTCAGTTTCTTGGGTGTGATGCTATATGTGGTAAACATCTTAATGTGCGATATAAATTAATTGCAAAGTAAAACTGAAAATCCTGTAAAAGTTGAAGAATTTTCATGTAGTCTATGGAAAGTCATGTTTGAGTATGGTGAGATTCACACCCGAAGGCAATGGTAGATAGGGCTATGATAGAGTTAGATCTGTTAACAGTTGAACAAAAGAAATTTGATATAGAAAAATGACATGACAGTTATTTTGAGAGAAAATGTTGAATATTAATGTATTAGGAGAGGCCCTTGAGAAACTGATGAAGTCTCAAACACTTGCTAAAAATACCCTATTGAAAACTTCATTATACTAATCAAAAATAAAACATATAGTATTCTGCCATTGAATTTTATCTGAAAAAATTATTTTGCTCTAAAAACTAGTGCCTATGACAAAACAACAAAATGCATTCAATAAAGATTTTCATAATTTTAGTTGTGTTTTTCAAACCCCTTCCCAACTTTTTAAATATTAACAAACTCCTCATTTTGAAGAATTCGTTTTATGTGCACCTTTCCAGGTAGCAATGACACTCAGATAACAGGAAATTCTATACTATTCAGCGTTATTATAAGAAATACCCACTGTGAGCAAGTGGAAAATCTCCCAGGAACACAACAATGGGCATATTATTAGAAAATCTATTATGTTTTATTCTATTAATAGGTAAAAGAAAGTAACAATGATCATTTCAATATTTTTAAAAGGCTCTTGATAAAATTTAACTTGTAATCCAATAAAAAAACTTTTTGAAAAGAGTAGATTGTTTCCTTAACATGACTAAAACATGACTAAAACAATATGCTCACATATCAAAAGCTGAATGGTAAATTTTTAAAAATAATAAATCCCATGAAAGTTAAGAACAAATAAGACCAATTATCATCACATTACTTACTATTATCCTGAAAGTAATTGCCAAAGCTGTAAGAGACAAAGAAAGAAAGAAAGAAAGAAAGAAAGAAAGAAAGAAAGAGAGAGAAAAAGAAAGGAAGAAAGAAAGAAAGAGAATGAAAGAACAAAAGAAAGAAAGAACAAAAGAACGAAAGAAGGAAAGAAAGCTGTCAGGAAAAAAGGAGGCAGAGATGCCATGATTTGGAGTTAATATATGACTAGAAAACTCAGGAGAAGTTAGCCTAATCTACTAAAAAAAGAGTTCAGTAAGATGGACAATGATAAATCATTAAAAGTCAAAGTTCTTTTGGTATACCAAAAGAACCATTTAGAATATATAATAAAAATATATCCCCATTCATTAAGCTACAAGACCCAAGCTATCTAGTAGTAATTTGTCCAAAGAAGTGCAAGGTTTATATGAAGAAACATATAAACCCCCAAATGAAGACTATGAAAAGATATGTAAAAATGAAGTTCTTAAATAGAAAGACTTAATACTACAAAGTTGTTCATGCTTTCTACACTAATCTCTAAATTCAATAAAATCCCAATAAATATCCCCAAAGGAGGTCTTTAAACTCGACAGCTTTTTTAGAGTTTAGTTGGTACCATAGATATTTCAAAACTGTTGAAAAATTCTAACGAGGGCAGACTTGTCTTCTATGTTAAAACATATTCTAAAGTTACAGTGATTGACATAACATGCTTCCACCTGCAGAGTCCAAAGCTAGAAATCAATTTTGCTTAAAGAGAACACAGTTCAAATCAGTGGGAAATGACAGATTATTAATAAAGAGCATTTAGACAACTAGTAAGCCTTTTGAAAATTATTTTTACCTCACTCTTAACACCAAAATCATCTCAGGCTAATGTTAAAGAAAAAAACATGGAAAAATGGGAAAACATAGGGAAAAAATACATAGTCCTGGGATGGGATAAGGACAACAATACTCTAAAGCCATAAAAGACTCACAGATCTGCAATTTAAGAAATTTAAAGTTCTATTTGGCAAAAGACACAAAACAGAAAGCTAAACAAAACAAACTGGGGGAAAAAGGATTTGCAACACATGACAAAGGGTTACTATTTATAATATGTGGAAATTATTAATAAGGGAGGAACAATCTAGTAAAAATGGGGCAGAGGAGATGAATAGGCAATTCATAAAAGTTATAAATGCAGACAGACAATAAACACACTGGATGCCTAATCCTATCTATCCAAGATGGACACGTAAGAATCAGGAGGTAAATGACATTTTACTTAAATTGGCAAATATTTATAAGGATTGCTAATGTGCCCATGCTTGCAAGGGAATGGGAATAGGAGTAGGGTAGCGGGTAGGAGTATAATTGGGTCCAGTCCCGGCTCTGCCACCTCCGGCTGTGTTTACCCTGCTGAGCCTCAATGTTCCTATCCATAAACCATGTAGTGCTTTCCTTATAGGGTTTTTCCAGGGAGGTAATGCATTCAAAGTGTTCAGCACAGAATTAGGCCCCTGGTAGTATTCGACAGACACATGTAGCTATTTCAAGAATAGTGAAAAAAAAAAAAAAGAATATTTTTTTAATGTTTATTTATTTTTTACATTTATTTATTTGATACAGAACACAAGTGGGGGAGGGACAGAGAGAGAGAATGAGACACAGAATCTGAAACAGGACAGAGCCCTACGCAAGGCTCAAACTCACAAACCGTGAGATCGTGACCTGAGCCAAAGTCAGATGCTTAACTGACTGAGCCACCCAGGCACCCCTATTTATTTTTGAGAGAGACAGAAAGACAGAGTGGGAGTAGGGGAGAGACAGAGAGAGAG